GGATTGTCAGAAATGAATGAAAACATAGGTTATCGACTACGCTGAATCTCGTGACAATGTTAGTTTTCAGAACAAAATGCAAGAACCGAGTGAAAACCTTTACTAGGTGAAATAACTGTTATTGAGTGATTCAAAAACGGCAACCGGCACTATATTTTGGCGCCGATAATAGTTGAGAAAAGTGATCGCATTAGCAAAGCCGAAGAAAAGGAATAACAAAAAAGCTTGATTGTTCTAGTATCATTAGCAGAAAAACAACTAGCCCCTGGAGTTTCACTCTTTTGCCTTAACAAGAGAGATTCCTATGGAAGAAAAAGAGTCAGCCGTCGAAATTTTGTTTGTAGTTCCACTATTTCTTATCCGTATCCGTTTAAATTTTTAAAAGGATGATCGACCATTCATTGTCATACATACATTTATTTTAGTCAAAAACAAATATGTTAAAAATAAACATTTGTTGTGAATTAAATTATGAACTAGATTATTACTAGAATATGAACAAAATTACATAGACTTTTAGGACATTATAAAATTTCTCTCTGTTTAGATAGGTATTGAGTAAGGATTTATAGCGCAGAAAGTTATGCCATAAAATGACGATTTTTCCCCTCAAAAATCTCTCCTAATCGATAAAGCACGCACTAGCTATGTCAGATAGCTTTAGGCTCTAAAATTTTGTCGTTGATGAAAAACAGAAGGTCTTTGAAAAGCCCTAGCGAACGTTTTTTTCCAAATATTTTTCCAAATTTCTGTTACTGTGGCGCCATTTTCTCTCCCATCTTTTCCAGCAGCTTCTCATCTGAAAGAGCATAAAAGGATGTACTTTTATCTTTTTGCAACATGGCATTTCCCGTTGAAAAGAATTAGTTTTTAAAATCTTTCTGTCTTTAGAATCATTTTTCTCGTTAAATATCAAAAACAAAACCTATTAAGGGTTGCAAGATCAAGGTGCAACTAAGAATAGATGGATAAGCACAAAGACTTCCGTATAAAACATAGGAATTATTAAGAAACACTTTAAATATTTACGTGATTGCAGACCGTCCCGAATTGTCCGAGTTTCAAAATAAAATCAGCTGCTTGAGTCAAAAATCCATTTTGAAGCCAAATAAGTTCGATATTGTAATCAGTATGAAGAACTGACGAGGGAGTCCTGTGGAGTTATGAAACATTCTTAACCTTAAACATAGTTATACTTCTGGCATACTGACTACGAATATAATATCCTTTGCGGCTGATTCGGAGGCCTTGAGCAGGTTTCTGGAAATCGATCTCTAGAAAACAAAAACATTTAAAAACGATATCCTTCCGAGATTAGTGTTTTGTAGAGCGCCCTAAACTATCTACTTCCTGTTATTTTGAAGCTTATCAAACGAGTATGAATAATGTTGAAAGATTCTGCGTGTGAAATGTTACTGTAAATAGAATTTTATTCGAAAATTGTAACCTACAAATACTGCTTTATTTATTCCCGGTTAGTAGAAGACATAATGTAAAACTGATAATGTATTTTTTCCAAAATTCGTTTGCAAAAAAGCAAAAAGTTTAAATGTATTGTGAAGACGAATGTTAAATAACATGTTGCACATGACTGATTTAAACGGTAAAAATATATTAATGGATGGCTTTTTCACAGCCATTTTCTTCTTCTCGTTTTTTTGAATTGTTCTAGCACGCCTAGCATAGCGAAATAGTCGACGCATTAAAATCCTTTCACATGATTCAGTCCGTTTTGAATATTTCTCATCAGTACACCAGAACACATGGTTAAAAGAGAAATAAGCAGTAGTATATAGTAGTAACAGAGATCAACTAAAATCTATATACGTATATGTACATATAGTAAAAATGTCTCTTTCTTTTTTTTAAATAACAAGAAAAACACATGTGACTGTATGAAAGACGGATATAAAGTAGTAAAGAGAGAGACCTATGCTTTTATCTTTCTTTTTGAAAGCAGAATAACACATCTATCAAATATTTTCAACGTGTACAAATCTCAATTGCACTGTTAACTATAAACCTTTTCTTCTCTCAACACTAATTAACAACATCATTATCTATCAGTCATCCGATCATGGCTGCCTCAAATGGTTTACAAGAAGTGCGTGTAAGTAGAAAGATTCAAATGAAATTGCCTCAGTTGCAAAAAAAGATGCATGTTTCATATTCATTACAGAGAAAAGTGTATGAGAGCACCTTGTGATGTTATCCACGTAAATCACGAAAAAAAATCATATGAGACACATCTTTTCCGTCAAGTAGTAGAAGGGAAAACGCGCTTGAAAAAGATTCAGAGACGGAAACAATATATCTAAATAAGTTTAAGAGCCGCACCTCTCCCACGTAAATAGTTTGATTTTTGGTTGCTCATTGATTCACACATTGTCAACTCTGCTCTGTCAGATGCAAATAGTCTTACGACTATCTGGATTCAATAAGAGACTGTGAGAGGGCTCACAGAAACAGGCTTATAAAAGGAAGAGTTCGCATAAGGCTGATAATCAGCCCACTTTAGTTTTTGTCTAAAAATGATTCGGTGAGTAGTAGAAAAGTATGATCAGTCAATTTTAAGTCATTTCGCGTACTTTTAATAACTAAATCCTCAAAGAGAAAAATTATGTTATCAAAAAGATCTAATTTTTGGTTTTATCAGCATTTCGAAAAACTTCAAATCCAAAAAAAAGTGGGGTTTTGTCGTGGTAGTTGATATTCGGCTGTATCCATCGAAAAAAAAGAAACTTCTGAAAACGAAAACAAATAGACCCCGTATTATGTCTGTACTTTCTGCAGTAATACTTTTCAGTCTCGACGGAGAACCTGTTTTCACGATGACGGTTTCTGCCAAACTAATTTCTAAAAATCTTTGTGTTTCATGTTCATCTTGTTTTCTAAACGATGCTTGACCTTTTAATCGATGCCATCTCATATTTTGAAATGTGTTGTGTAACACCATTTTTACGAGATTTCTGTACGAGAAAATAAAGAATACTGTTTCAATCACTGACTAACAGGTTAAAGTTATATTTTACAGGATGCATTTCACTATCAATGTTCTCGTATGGACACCGAACCAACTAATCGGTACTGGGATTGGATCACGTTAAATAAAGGCAAAGAACGTGCTCTAGTATCCCTCCAAGAGTTTTCACCAATGCCAAACGTTGTTCCAACGGAATGGAATGTAGTTTTGGGCGATTTAGTCAATTTGTCGACGGATGGTTCATTGACAGATGCATGTAGGTATCACGTTTTTTTGAAGGTAAAATTATCAATTACTTTCTATGCTTATATTTTATAGATTTTGTGTCATTTGATAATCAGTGGATTAAAAATCCAACATCAGGGACCGGATTAGTTTTAACAGTTCCATATCGAATGACGGGTAAGTATTATTTCTTTATGTGCTTGAGATAACCTTTGAAGAAGGTGGGTGGGCGGATAGGGTCATTTTTCGGCCCTTAATATATTTCTAGGTTACTCAAAGATGCTGAACAAAATGGCCTATGTAGTTTTCTGAAATTCAATACTTCGTTTTTTTCCACCTGAGGCAAAAATGAAAAATGTTTTTCTTCAGTCTTTTTTCGAAAACACATGGAGTAGATGCAGAATTTTACGCGGATTCCGAATATCGTATTGATACTGAGAAAAAATTGCATGTTGGTGAAGAAAATTGCGTTTTACTCTCCAAAAATAATTCACCGTAACAATTAGAAATAATAGAGATACACATCAGTCGATTCGGCTTTTGATCCTGATTCTGAATATAATATTTTTATTGCTCAGAAGTTAAGTTATGATGGAGAAAATTGAGAACTACGGGCAGAATTCCGACTTTTCGCCCGTGACTAAAAAAAATGAATTTTCTAGGAAAAGGACAACATCTTAGCTTATTGAAATTGATACTACTGGATAGAGCATGAAAGACTGCATATACCTTATTAGATTGACATTGTTTCTATATTTTGTTCTCATATAACAGAAAACAACTTCAAGTACCATCAAAAAAATCTCTGATTCTCCGTAATTTTCATTTTTTGCTTTAAAAAACCTGTTTTAAAATGTTTTGAAAGATTGCATTGAAGAGTGCAGCTATTTCTGAGTATAGAGGGTGTCCTTGATCGGCTTAAAACATGTTTTTGACGTCGCAATAGCATTATTTCTAATTGTTACGGTGAACTGTTTTCGGAGGGTAAAACGCAATTTTTTCTCAGTATCAATATGATATTCGGAATCAGCGTAAAATTCTGCATCTAGTACATGTGTTTTCGAAAAAAGACTGAAGAAAAACATTTTTCACTTTTGGTGAGGGGCACCTCATGTCGAAAAACACGAAGTATTGAATTTCAGAAAACTACATAGGCCATTTTGTTCAGCATCTTTGAGTAACCTAGAAATCGATGGTTTTTAATGAAAAATATTAAGGGTCGAAAAATGACCTCTCCTTTACGTTTTTACGCAAGACATGGAAGATCTGAATTTTCTGAGTTGTGGCAAGAGAGGGTAAACAATGCGTGAACTGGAATTGTCTTTTTCATTTAGAACATTCACGTAACGCGTTGGCAAAGTATTCGAAGGTGATTGTTGTTGACGTTCAAAAGTCGAATATACTTATTATCCTCTGGTTAATAATTTAACAGTTCGAATCGTCAATGTGAACAAATATCATGAGTTCGAAGTGGGCAAAGCATCGGCCGCCGATATTAAAAATTGGTATGACAATAATGCAAATTCTATTAAAGTTAACGTGGCATTAAAATAAACCACGCTCTAAACCCACGAACCCAGTAAAATCGATTCTGATTTGCAAAAATCGATTTTTTATGAATTTGAAAATAAATCAAATTAACAGTGTACTAGTGGAACAGATGAAATGTAGTCTTGCCAGCCCTCCAACAAGATCAAGAAAGCGGCCATGAATTTGTACATGGATCGGACTTGATCGTCATTTTCTAAGTCAATTAGTCATTCTTTAAAGAAACTCCACTTTGGAATCGAACTAGGATGCACAAAATCAGGGATGCATATTTTCAGTTAGAAAAATTTTTCAGATTCATCCATAGGATCTTAGTTGAATTGTATCACATAGACAGCAATTTAACAATTTGTAGATCACAACTGCTTGCAAAACGTGAAGTAAAGCTGCACCTTGAAAAGAGTTTGTCCCCTAACTCATGTTCTACCTCCTAGTTGGTTCCATATAGAATGGTTCTAAAGGTTATTGAGTCCTCTCACGAACATAAGTGGGAAAGTTGACCACTGATACCATTTATGACACATTCAAAGTTGACGATGTGAATTCAGCGAATCTGAAATTTGTGTCTTATCTAAAAACCAAATTGTGATTATGAATACGATATTAATTAGGATCATTCCAATCTAGAAGGCGCCGTATAGCTGAGTGATTCTGATGAATTTAGACCGTTTTCCACAAAAGCTAGCTCGATTGTAGTTTCCTTTAGACTGCATAAAACAGTCCCAAAATCTACATGCATTATGGCCGTATTCCAAAAATCGATTACAGTGATGTCGTTTCAAATATCGAATGCCTATTTCATTATGAATCAGACATTCACAATGAATTGCACAAATTAGGATACTGATCATGATAGTTTCATGAGAGAACCTTGGAGTTGAAAGTCAAGACAACTAGGTATGCATCAGTATCAGTATTTTATAAAGTACTGATACTGATGAATATTGAACACTGAAAATACTGACAATGAAGCATATATTTCTCTTTTTCTTTCTTCCATAACTCTTATCTTGTAACCTTTCTTGAGGGTAAGAATATCCCAAGATCTTGTTTTCTTGCTACCCAAGAACTTCGACTAGGCTCATGTTCATGCTCTAACATGTGCGCTGAAAAGAACAGATGATATTTTGATCTGTTGGGACATGATTAAAGGGTATCATACAGAAAAAATGATTTTTTTCATCAACCAAAAGGAATTTCAGAAATTAGCACGTTCGCTTTTGTAGCCTGGCATCTAAGGAATCGAGCCATGTTAAAATATTGGCCCTAGCATCTCTAGAAAAACGTGTGAAAAGTTACATATAATATTCTTTTCGATTCATTCAGCGTAATTTTTAAGGACTTAGCGGCGGCCATAGTGACATTTTTAAAAAGAGAGTATTTTAATGAATCATACAAAGATTAATATATAAAAAATTAGCAGTAAAAATTGCGGAAAATTGTCTATTCGTATCCTGAAGTGTTTTCTCTAACGTCTCTTTAATATCGATCTGAGTGAATGTTTTTATTTCGGGTTCTGGATCTAAATGATCGAATGTCACTGATTCTGAATCTAATTGGATTTTGAAATGTTTTAATTGTGTCATTTCAGTAATGACTGTTTGTAAAATGACTAAGCAATCAGCAATTGTTCGCACCCTAATATTGACAAGTGATCGCAAATTTGAAAATATTGAACAAAATTGTTCAAGACAAATTGAATTGGTCGGTAAATAAGTAGCATTCAAATTTAAATGCCGAATCATTTTGTTTAATTTTAAACGTAAGTCATTGTTGTGAGAAAGTTGATTGATTATCGTATTCAGTTCAAAAAATTGCATCCTCAATGTATTAATGTGGGTACCACAGTTTAATATTGTTATCAACCAATTTGGATCAATCAGATAGCCATGATATTTTTGACATAAAGCCACACATGTGATTGATGATCGACTCGAATCAAATACATTTTTTATATAATCGAGCAACGGTTGTGTACATGTAATTTGAGCCTGAAGACAGAAGGTGACCGAGTTGAGATTTTTGTAGACATATGCTGGAAAGGAATCAGGAAGTATTAAACGATGAGCATTTGGATGAGGGATAGCGGTTAATTGTAAATGATTAACAGATTCATATGTCTCAATCGGTTTGGCGCTTTGCATTGTCGAACCAAAATCAAAATCGTTCAATGACAGATGCAATTTTTTGTTAAAATAAGGCACTAAATTAAATCAACTCGTTCTATGACAGCCGACTGAGAAATGTTTAAAAAACGACTTACAAGTATGAAAACAAACAACTTCTGATACACGTATGTAATAATAAGAGACGTATACATTTCGATCGATCCAAAAATTTGTTGAAAATGACGGTAACTGAACAGTTCTAACATAATCAAGATCAGCTTTTTCTCTTTGTATATCTAAAATTTAAAAGTACTTGTCAATCAAAAATCTAGCTCTGATGATCGCACAAACACTGCATCGTATTAGGCTCTTATTTTTCCAGAATAGAGTATTTGTGAATATTCTTTACTTTTGTTCAGCGTTTAGATATGTTCCCATGGATTTGTAGATTATCATTACACTACAGTGCTAGAAAGACCGCCGTTTTTCTCCTTCCTTACTTTGAACTGAAATAGTAATAATTTCTGCTTTTAGCATCTACTAGATCGTCTAATCACTATTTCAATGCACGAAACTAAATAGTCCATTTTTATGTGAGTCGAATCTAATGTTGTCAGAATGACATATATTAAACAACGCGCAATTAAGCCCAACTCAATATCTCCTTTCCATTTTATTTCTTCAGCTTTCCAACTACCTAATCAAGCGACACAATACCCGAAAAAATACCGTCATGTATCTGCTGATGTTAGCGAATGGCGAACTCCTTAATATTTCATGCGTGAAACGCTGCCCTTGAACAAGAACTGGCTATAATTGGTAACCAAAACCTACTTTTTACTTCATGTATGTTTCACAAGCAGAACTACTCTTTTTGGCGCAACATAGTACAAAATATTTACATCTCGAGACTAAAAACACCGTGAGTCGGGTCTTTTGTTGCGACACCCTTTTATAACAGAATGCTAGATGGTAACGACAGTCATTTGCTGGATTGGATTATCATAACCCTTAGTGCTCTCAAATTATCATTACAGTATAATGATTTACGAGTCAACCTCTTCGCAACTTCAGACTTCTTGTAACCAAGTTCTAGACTTCTTGATTTATTTTAGTAAGATCTTAATTCAAGCTCGTAGTAAGAAAATGTAAAAATTCAAGAAACTTCAAGAAGTCAAGATCATGAATATCTTGCAATTTTATTTAACATTCATTTAACTTCTTGTAGAAAGATCTTGGAAATTCTTGAATCATCGTTTTCTTTTACGCTCTTGTGTAAATATAAGTGCGAATATTTTCACATTTAGAATAACTTGGAACTTTATTCCTTCTTGAACATAGTTTCTAAGGAAGAAAAGCTATCATTCTATATGGTTGTACGGCTATGGTTGTCTTAAATGAAAACAAAATGTAAAGAAAATTTCTCACTTAAGATCTTGCAACATCTTGAGTGGACTCATATTCCAGACCTTGAGTGAAAGATTCAAGAACCCAGGATCCTGACTTCTTGATATTTTTTCCAAGATCTTGTTTGTTAACCCAAGATCTTGGGTACAAGAAGCTTCACTAAGGCTTATATTCTAATTCAGTGAGAACTTCAAATATCGACAATTATAGTTTGAATCGATTCCCGATTTCAAAATGTATCAGCATTTTCTGAATTTCAGAATATGTAAGATGCACCAGAAGCAGGCCTGCAGCGAAATTTAACAAATCGGATAGCCCTTTTCACGATGATCAAGAATATGTGTTTCCTGAATTTTTTCGCGGCGTCCTTCCCGTTGAAAGACCGAAAAAGCTCGAGTGTAGTGAAAAACCCGAGTTTCCGTCTCGAGATGCTGGGGCCAATATTTTAACATGGCTCGATTCCTTAGATGCCAGGCTACAAAAGCGAACGTGCCAATTTCTGAAATTCCTTTTGGTTGATGAAAAAAATCATTTTTTCTGAATCAAAGGCGAAAAAGTCGAAATTTTGCCCGTAATTCGGACTTTGCGCGTTCGAGTCAAAAAATCATTTTTCTCAGGAAAATTAATTTCAAAAATCGACACGTTCAGTTTTCTAGCTTGCCATGTAGGGAATCGAGCCATATAAAAGTATTGGCCCTAGCATCTCTAGAAACACGCATGAAAAGGTTGGAAAATCGGGCAGTGTGTTTTTTGGTCGTTTTACTTCTGAAAGATGAACAAGAATATAGCAGTGTCCATACAAATGAAGCACCAAGTGGGAAGAATAATGTCAAGAATTTGAGAGTATGACTCTTAAGTCATTATTCTACAGTATTATGATATTCGGACAGCCTAGTCCTGGGTTCCTTTTGTTATCCGCTGTTTTAACAATGTACGGTTACTTTCCTTATATACGATTGTTGGCGATGTGTATGAAGTAGAACACAGATAGTTGGCGATCAGTTAATAATGTTAATTTATACAAAATAGATAAACTTGCACTTACCTAATTGAAAACTTTGAAGTTTGGGCAATGTTGAAACAATCTCATGCCATTTATTACCACTCATACATTCATTATTCATACAGACATAGCTTGTAAATGACAAACGTTTCAAATTTTGATGATTTATCAATAATCGTTCAACTTCATTAAATGGTACACAAATCATAAATAGTTTAAAAGACGTTAGGTTTGGTATGGTACCAGCAAATGATGATAGTGATGAGTCGTTGTTGTTCCACAAAATGCCTGCTGTTTCCACCACCGTCAATTTCACGTCCAAATATTTAATATTTGGAATTTGATAAACTAATTGGGTTAAATCATACAATGAATAAAGAGAAATCGACAAATATTCTAATGTCTGACATCGATAATTAGTAAACAGTATTGACGAGGATAAATGTCCGAAAATTAATCGACATTTTTTTAAGAATAATTTATTCAATACAATGTTAAATAGTGTCTGTATGAATGGAAATGCATTATAACGATTACTTATATCAATTGAGAATGTTTCTAAGTGTGGTAAATTTTCCAATTTTAACAATATTTTATCTAGAAGGCTCGTCAGTTTTGGTTTTAATAATATCAATGTACGTATGTTTAAACAGTTCTCTAAATCAATTGCTTTGAAAAATATTGTCGTTTGCGAATAAAAATACCTATCGGATAGTTGCAATGAATGCAATTGTTCAGGTGAATGAGATATAGTTGAAATTAACAAATTTATCTCATGGATTGAAGTGGACGATATTGACAGATCAATCTGTAATCGAGCATGTTTGATTAAATCATTGATTCGAGTGTTCAAATTACAATAACAGTCGAAAAGATCGTAAGCTCGTGTGTAGTTTTCAAAGAGACACAATAAAATTTCGTTCGGCAATTTTTCCATTCAACCTAATAATAAAAACAATGACAGATCGAAAGCGTTTTCAGTTAAATGAAACACAACAAGAATGATCAGTATAACGAAAGGCTTACGACTTTCGTGTTGTCTTTCCTTTACGATATTACATGATAAGGTAAACGAAAGTAAAATTAAAGAAAAACGACATTTTGCCGCATGATGACTATCTTGAATTTCATATATATTGCGTACTTCTTTCGCTTTCGTTTGTACCACGTGCTTTTGGACCATCACTAGATTAAAATTTTACTGTTGAGTTCTTTGCGTTCTGTTCCTTGTTTCATGCTTCCTTGCCTTAAGAAAATGAAAAAATGAGAATTTTACACTACAAAGTGCCTCTACAATGAGAAAAAGTTTGTTAACGTACACTGTTGATCGTTACTAGCTTAACATCGGGAAAAGTCGCTGTTAGCGCAAAAATGTCCTGGAACACCCGCACTCCAGATCCTCGAAACTGCATACTTGCGGGTCCGTAAGCTGCCATATACCGCATGTCGATGACGCAAGTGAGTCTCAAGAAGAAAATGGGTGGTCTTTCCGCCAGTGTGATCTTCATGAAATTTTAGAACTGAAAACGCTTATGGGCGGGTTAAGAAAACGTAAAACGTAGATTGTTGTGCTAAAGCAACAAAACGTTTTTCATATGGTGAAGTGACAAGTAAGAATTTAGAATTAGATTCTGTGTTGAATACAGACCTCTTAGAAAAGGCGCTTCGCTCTCGTGTTAACTAGTAAATAGTGTTTTTCTCGGCCGAGTTCCTCTTTTAACGTAATTAAGAAGTTCCGAACAGATTAGCTACTAATCGAGAACTTAATTCTCCATAAACAGTCAAATCAGCATACGAAAAAAACTTTGCCTACCCAAGATCTTGGATTCTTGAATCTTCCACTCCAAGTCTGGAACATGAATCCACTCAAGACGTTACAAGATCTTGTGAGAAATTTTCTTTACATTTTGTTTTCAATTATGACAGCCATAGCCATACGACCTTATAGAATCAATCAGAGGTTCTTCCTATTTTTAAATTTTTATTACACCATCGGATAGCCCTTTACACGACGATCAAGAATATGGGCTCCCTAAATTTTTTCGCGAAGTCCTTCCAGTCGAAAATACTCGGGCAGCCAAAACACGTTTTTCTAGAGATGCCAATACTTTTACATGGCTCGATCCCTACACGGCAAGCTAGAAAACTGAACGTGTCGATTTTTGAAATTAATTTTGGTTCCTGAGAAAAATCATTTTTTGACTCGAACGCGCAAAGTCAGAATTCGGCCGTAACGCCCAATTTTTGCGATCAGAAGACTATATGCAGTCTTTTATGCTCTATTCAATGGTATCAATTTTAATAAGCTAAGATGTTGTCCTTTTTTTAGAAAATTCATTTTTTCTAGATCACGGGCGAAAAGTCGAAACTCTGCCGGTAGTTCTCAATTTTCTACATCATAACTTAACCTTTGAGCAATACAAATATCATATTCGGGATAGCGTCAGAAACTAGGTCGACTCATTTATTTCTATCCTATCCGACTATTTTAACCTCGAATATTCATGTAGAAAATTACCGAGTTTCATCAAAAACTAAACATTTCGAAATACACACCGGTCGACTCAGTTTTTAATCCCTAATATGATATTTTTATTGATCAAAAGTTGTGCTCTGATCGAGAAAATTGGCATTATGGGCAAAATTCCGACTTCTTCGCCTTTGATTCAGAAAAAATGATTTTTCTCATCAACCAAAAGAAATTTCCAAAATTGCCACGTTCGCTTTTGTAGCCTGACATCTAAGGAATCGAGCCATGTTAAAATATTGGCCCTAGCGACTCTAGAAAACGTGTGAAATTTTGCAAAATCGGGCAGTGTGTTTTTCGTCGTATTACTTCCGAGGTCTGTGGCAGATAGGCGTTTGGATCTAAAACGACTTTCAGATCATTTTCTAAATCTGTTTTCAAAGATGAACAAGAATATAGTAGTTTGAATCTTCCACTCAAGGTCTGGAATATGAGTCCACTCAAGATGTTGCAAGATCTTAAGTGAGAAACTTTCTGATGACTGCTGACTTATCGTTGAATTACGAGATAATTGGCTGACTTATCGATGAAGCCGCCGATATTTATATCCATGCAGTTTCATTCAAATTCTAGATGCACAGTACGTTTTCATGATATTTCCCAAAATCCATCTTC